TATATATATATATACACACACATATATATATATATATATATATATATATATATATATATATATACATATACATGCATATATACATATATATGTGTGTGTAAAATAAACAAATAATTGGTCTAGTGATTTTTAATAACATTTTTGTTTGAAGATTTTTTAAAGAAAAAAATAATGAATTTACATTAGATTAAATAAAAGTACAGATAGTGTGCAACATGTTTAAATATTTAAATTAAAATAGTTAAAAAATATTTTGGCTATATGAAAGTCTAAGTAAAATGTTACATTTTACTATGACTATTTATTATTACTACTTTTCAATTGCATGTCATGTTTAAACGTTATTGATTTACCACTAAACCCACACTTTCAATCATAATGAAAAGCCATTATGACATTATTATGACATCACATTATATAAATGTGATTATTACATTTTTAAAATAAAATATGATATAAAAATGACAAGGAAAAAATAAAGAAAAAGATCATTAATAAAGTAGTAATAAAAAAAATTCTGGATGCTTTTAAATATATTTTTGAAAACTGATTTTGTGCAAATTAAAAGAAATGTGGGAACACTGTCATTTTAAAACTATTCAAAACTTATTAAAATGGTTTCAGTTCAAATATTTTCTTTTGTAAAAGTCCAATTAAAATGTCACATTTTGCTATAACTTCTTATTTTTACTGCTTTTCAAATGTGTTTTATGCTTAGATTTTATTGTTACACTAAACCCAGAATTTCAATCTCAAAGTATGAAAATACATTATAAAAATGTGAATTATTAGATTTTTTAAAACTAAAATATGATATAAAAATAAAGAAAAAATATTAATACATTTGTAATAAAATTTACATTTTATAATCTGGAGATCTGGACATTTTTAAATGTCAAAACTGATTTTGTACAAAATTAAACAAGAAATGTGGGGAAACTCAAACTCAAAAAAATTTTTAATTGTAAAAAAATTACAATTATTAAAAAAAAAAAGTTTGAAAATCCAATGAAAATGTCACATTTTACTATAACTATTTATTTTTACTACTTTTAAAATGTTTAGATTTTATTGTTTTAGCACTATATTCAGACTTTCAGTCTTAAAGCATGCACATGCATTATAAAAATGTTAATTATAACATTTTTAAAATAAAATATTATCTAAAATATAAAAATAAAAATATGAATAAATTTGTAATAATTTACAAATTGGAACATTTTAATGTATTAAAAAAATAGTTTACATTAGATGAAAAAAAAACCTAGGGGAAATGTGAAAAGCGTACTGTGGAAGTGTTTATTTTCTCACAGTAGTTGAAGAAAGACTCAAATATGACAGCACAACTCAACGCTCTCTGATTCAGATACCCTCAGCTCAACCAATGTCTGTACAGACACACAACTGACAATTAATATATATTCTAAAACTGATTTTGTGCAAATTAGAAGACAAGACATACTGCTGTTTTCAAACTGTCTCTTGCAGTTGATTGATATGGGGCGGATGCATCGATCTCAACAACTGTCCATACTCTGGAAACGTTTATTGTCCGGCTGATTAAGGCAAATCAACGGCCTTAAAATGCAATGCAGCTTAAAAAAACGAATCTATGACTTGACAATGGGGAGCTGAATGTCCAAAATTTCAATTTCACGTCTAATTAAATACCTCAAATCCCCAAAACAACTCAATCTCTTACTTTCGCCTGATTTCTTTTGCTAGCCACCGTTTTCTCTCTAAATCTCAGCAACAAAGCAATCAAAAAAACCTCTACAAGATCTTGAGGTAAAGGAAAACCCAGACGTTTCAGATGGAGACATCATGTCATGATCTCACACAAACGCGTACACACACCTCAGAGTGAGACTTTCTCACGCCGTCGAGTAAAGATACGTGTAAATCTCATTAACATCGACTTCACAGAAAAGCAAGATAGAGGTGATAATTGAAACAGGTAGAAATAAGGGACCTGCCATCAGAAGTTTGCCTTCTCTCATTATTCGCTGTGTTCAGTCCTCTCTGAAAAACACTTCAGATTCAGCTCTTTAAATCAATAATTCACCCATAATGAAAGTACCATCATCGTTTGCTCACTCTCATGCCGTTTCAAACCTGTATGATGTTTGTTCTTCAATAGAAAACTAAAGGAGATGTTTAGCAAAATGTTCATACTAAGATCTGCAAATAGTGTTATTTTAGTATCACTTATTGACTTTTTGTCACTTTTATTAGTTTTTTGGTTTATTTTATAATAATATGAATATACATTAAAACTTATATCGACAGCTTTTTGTTATTTATTTTTATTTTATTTTATTTTAAGTTGTAGTTATTTTTGCTTTTGTTTTATATGTGTTTTTGCCACCAGCTTATTTTACAAAAATATGAATATATACATTAAAACTTCTGACAGCTTTTTATAATATACATTATTTATTTATTCTATAATAATATATATATATTTATACAAATATTTTAATAGTTTTAGTTTACAATACTACCTGGAATATGGTGCAAAAGTCAATTTTACAGCTTTTTTTTTTCTCATCTTTGGAGGTTGAAAGTGTCTGTTGTATGGAAAAGGAGCAGGAAGCATTCTTTTGTTTTCCACAGAAGAAACAAAGTCAAACAGACGCAAATCAAATTCAAATATCTGCTGCACAAACGTTTCTTTCCGAGCCGGATCGAGGCTCTCCCATCATCTGTTCAGAGCGAGAGGATCTGAAGTTTATCTGCGGCAGCGTTTAGTGTGAACAGGGACGGCAGAGATTGGATAAACGGCAGCGGAGGGAAGCTGTTGACTTTGCTAGAGGACACAGGAGAAAAGTTGAGCTTATTTTACAAAAATATGAATATATACATTAAAACTTCTGACAGCTTTTTAATTTTTAGCCTTTTTATATATAAAAACATATACACACACGTATACACACACACACACACACACATCTACAATTTGGACATACTTTTGTGAGTAGAAATTAAATATGAATGTTCATTTTATATTTCCATTTAGCTTTTATTACCTTCATTTTTATTTATTTTCCTTTTATTACATTTTTTTATTTCAGTTTTAGTCATTTTAGTACTTCAATTTATTTAAGTGTTAAGTTTTTTTTTCAAATATTTAATATATTTTACTTCAGCTTTATTTATACTTTGCTAGAGGACACAGGAGAAAAGGAAGGAGAAAGAGAGCGTGATAAAGACTAGAGATGTGTTTGACAGCGGTTTGAGGGCAATTATCAGGAGAGCAGCTCGCGCTGGACAGGAGAGGTGAGCTGTGAAGAGGAGCAGAGCTGAAGAAATCAGCAGTCCGGATATACTATATACTCAGCTCTTCATTAACCGCCGGCCTGTTAATTGCTAGTGGCTTTGTGTGAAAATGTGGGGGTGTGTTGACTATTTAGTGGCTCACTCTTTTCAGACGCGCACACTAATAGTAACACGTTATCCATTAGCAGACGGGCTGAGAATAGCAAAGCTTTCGGATGAATCTCATTAAAAAAAAGGTCAAGAAAATATTTATATAAAGATATATCTGCATAAGAAGTATATATACACTATGCATAAATGTAAATTATGTATTTATGTAATATACATACATATTTATATATTTATGTATACTGCAACTACATTTTTTCATCCTAAAATCAAAGCAAATTTAATTAAAATCAGCTTTGTCAAAGTAAAGCATCCAAAAATCAAAGAGATTATATTGTACATCAGTGCAAAACACTCACAGAAAATACATAAATCAATTTAAATTATTTAATTTAATATTATATATATATATATATATATACAC